TCACTCGATATACGACACAATAGAGAAAAGACCAGCGCAACTTCTGTTTGTTATGCCGACTTTAACTTCAACATCAAATGGCATTCATTACTTCTGGATTTCAGAAACAGGACATTTGGTATCAATCGCAAACTATTGATTTCTTAATCGGTATTTTGTCTTGTTTTCTAGAAGAAATATACTGTATATATCCAATTTTAAATTAGGGCTGTCAAATGATTAATTGCGATTAATCACATCCAAAATAAAAGTTTTTGTTTACATGATATATGTGGGTGCACTGTGTATAATTATTATGTGTGTGTATATATATATATATATATATATAAACATACACACACATGCATGTATATCTAAGAAAAAAATAATTTATATATAAAATATTTAAATTTATATATAATATAAATTAGTATATATAAATCTATATACAGTATATACATAAAAATATTTCTTAAATATATACAAGCATGTGTGTGTATATATATATATATATATATATATGTATGTGGGTGCACTGTATAGTTATTATATATATACTATGTAAACTTTTATTTTGGATGTGATTAATCGCGATTAATCGTTTGACAGCCCTATTTTAAATCAAGGTATATTTACTTGATATAAGAAACAAAATAATTGCAAAATGTATCCAAATTAAGTGAGTTTATGCTTAAAACAAGAAAAAAAAAGAAAAATGATACTTAATTTAAAAGGAAACCAATATTATTTTTTGACTCCTTCGTCAGACTTTCTTTCTTGTAGCATAAACTCACTTAATACAACTCATATAATTGTGTTTCTCAATTAAATGTATCTTGATAGGAATGTTTTGATATTCATACTGGAAACAGGACAAAAACACTGAGATGGATTTAATTTTTTCGCCAATTAGTGTAAATTTGCATTTGTAATCAAGCATCTTCTGCAGACAAACATTTGTTGTTTTTCATTGTTATAACTTGCACTAATGAGTCTTCTAACTAGGCATCCAAAAGTGTAAAAAGCGTTCTTAATGCGATTGTGTCTCTATAGTGTGTCTATGCTGTACTTGCATTGATTGAATCAGTGAGGCTGCGATCTAAAGACCTCACGACACACGATCCATCCGTTACGAATTGGCCGTCTTCTTTCATCCCTCTCTCTCTCATCCTGACCCTCTTGTTCCCAGTGTAACGGGAGACTAGATAGTGCCAAGGTTTAATTCCTGTCAGCATCTGTTTAATTACGCCAGTTACGCTTCTAATTAAAACCGGCACCTTTGTACCTCTGAATCTTCACTCCGGCTTAGCAATGGCGTGTGACATGAAGCGTCTGAATCCCACAATCCTCGGGGAAACCTGACGACCGCAGAAATGTGGCCAAATGTGACCTGATGCAGTGGGAAACCCCGTCTGGTCGTCGCTGACCTAGTTTGGTGCTTTTCAACTAGTTTCAGACTGGACATAATGGACGTTTCCTTCATCATGAGAAAAAACAGTCCTTGCTTTAGTGTTCCAGACATTTTCAGCAACAATACCTTGATAAAGAGTGAAAATGTGCAGTTATGTCCTTTAGGTATGTTATATTATTAAATCAAACCATTTGGGCCAAACTTAAAGTACAGGTGAAACTTGAACAATTCGAATATGGTGCAAAAGTTCATTTATTTCAGTAATTCAACATAAAAGTGAAACTAATAAATTATATAGAGTCATTACATGCAAAGTGAGATATTTCAAGCCTTTATTTGTTAGAATTTTGGTTGATTATGGCTTAGAGCTTATGAAAACCTTTTCACAATATTCTAATTTTGAATTTGGGTTTTTCAGTAGCCATAATAATTATTATAACAAACATCTCACTTTGCATGTAATGAGTCTATATAATATAGGCTATTAGTTCCACTTTTTAAGTTGAACTTTTGCACAATATTCAAATTTTTCGAGTTTCACCTCTATATTTTCTGTGCATTTTGTCAATCAAATCTTAATGATTATGGCTTACAGATATTTCTTTTCACAATATTCTAATTTTGAATTTGGGGTTTTCATAAGCCATAATAATCTACATTATAACAAATAAAGGCTTGAAATATCTCACTTTGCATGTTTATATAATATATTAGTTTCACTTTTTAAGTTGAATTGCTGAAATAAATGAACTTTTGCACGATATTCAAATTTTTCAAGTTTCGCCTGTATATTTTCTGTGCATTTAGTCAATCGAAGTCAAAATCATCAAAAGAATGTGTGACAAATGTGAAGTTATGTCCTTTAGGTGTGTGGTATTAATAAGCTTGTTAAGTCGAACCATTCGGGCCAAACTTAAATTATATTTATGTGCATTCAGTCAATCTAATCTTTAGCATAATTTAAAATCATTTATCCCTCCCCCCACCGTCTGTGACTATCAATACAATATATTAAAACTGTATTTGGGAGAAATGAGATTTTACTGGGACTTAGCACGCGTGGAAGTTTGCGAGGAAGAGTGGGACCGCGGGGACCAGCGGGTAATTAGGTTAGTGGGTTGTCAGTGTCAGGAAATTGAAAGACAATCCTAATCAGATTTCTGTTTCTAGGGAATCAAATAATTTGTATAAGGAGAAGAAATCTCCCGATTCGGCTTCTGAAAAGATAATGCGGTTTGTTGTCGCGGCTCTTTGTTGCGCTTTTTGTGTCATGATTGATGAAGCCGACATTATAATTCAGATCAAACGCATTTAGCAGTTCAGTTCGAGCTTTTCTGGGACGCGGTGAAAACGTAAAGCATGCACACCATAATTCTGTTGTCATTTGTCAGCTGATTATGGGTGTTAAATGAAGCCTTTGTGTTTCCTCTGTTCCTCCGTCCCTGCTCTCATCTCACACTCTATAATGTCCAATAAAGGAGACTTCAGGAGTAATTTGCCACACACACACACTCCTCTGACACACAGGGATGAGATCATGCAGTCAGCGGGGAAGAGGAACCACAGGACTGGTGAAACTCTGACAATTAGAAAAATCTATTTCAGTAACACAACATAAAAGGTGAAACTAATATATCAGATAGACTCATTACATGCAAAGTGAGATATTTCAAGCCTTTATTTGTTATAATTTTGATGGATTACAGCTTATGAAAAATATCTAGAATATTGTGAAAAGACTTTCATGAGCTGTAAGCCATAATCATCAACATTAAAACCAATAAAGGCTTGAAATATATAATATATTAGTTGAATTACTGAAATAAATGAACTTTTGCACAATATATTCTATTTTTTGGAGTTTCACCTGTGTGTGATACACGTCTCATAACTTAACCTGTCGTTTGTTTTTAAAACGGCAACATTTTCCCTTTAATGTGAATCATTAGATACTGTTTCTGTACTTCAGATGTTCGGAAGATTTGCGTCTGCAATGCTTCTATCACTTTTTTCTGCTTCTTAGATTCAGTTCGCTCTCAGGAGATGTGTGATAGCGCCCCCTACTGTATAACAGTGAAAGCCGGACAATTCCATCAATGGCGGGAAAGAGTTACAAATTAGGAAAACGTTACTTTCCCCCGACCTGTTTTTTTTTATTATTATTATTATTATTTTATTATTCCTTGGTTGGAAACATTCCATATCATCATTCTTCAAACATTATGGGAGCGTTACTTTTGAATGTTCTGAAAAACGTTGTTTTAAATGTTTTAAAAACGTTACTTTTGTTTGGTAATGTGAACATTCCGTTTCATCATTCTTCACACATCATCGGAATGTTACATTTGAATGTTCTCTGAACATTCCGAAACAAGTACAAATTAAAGAATGTTGGATGAACGGCCAACTACTATTTTTTTTTTAAACACACTATGAACAATGTATAAATAATGTTTTTAACGTTTTGAGAACATTATTAAGATCCGATAAATCTAAACGAACGTTCTATTAACATTATTGGAAGTACTTTCCGTAAAACATTGTGTGGAGGATTTCCTTTCAAATCATTTTCACTCAGAAATTCGAATGTCACTAATAATTACAAGGAAACGTGACATTTGGAATTAGAAAGAAAACGTTCTTCTTAAGTAAGTGTTAAAATGTTTTTGTTTAGATCATTTCCCTAATTATATTAATAACGAGCAACAGCTGAAAAAACACACTGGTTTCTGCATTAACACGCGTCATGTGAAAAATATGGTTATTTAAAATAAATAAAAGCACTTGTAATAAGGTTAATGCAAAAAGACTGCTTTCCAGTCAGTCCCATGTTCATCGAACTCTCGCCTCAGGTGTGTGTGTGTGTGTGTGTGTTTAACCCCTAGAAATACATTCAAGTTCAGCAACTCTATCCAGTAAATGAAATAAACCAACAGGTCAAATATTACAGGTTTAGGAGTGCTGAGTAATGTGCAGATGTAAACACATTCTTATCAAATAATTGGATAATAAATAAGATGTTATGACGAGGTGTGTGTGTGTGTGTGTGTGTAGGAGCCGTTATGCATATCGACTGCAGGTCATCGGTGTGTTATGATCAGAACTGGCCAGTTTTGCACATGATGCTGCGTATGAGAGGTCTGTGTGTGTTAGTTCGGAGAGAGAGTGTGTGTGTGTGTGTGTGAGTTCAGTGACCCCGCGTTGAATATTCATCTGTGTGTCACAGTGTTCACATATGGAGGCCTGACACCTCCGTCACACGCTGAGAGAACAGCACCTGTCTCTCTCTCTCTCTCTCTCTCACACACACACACACTATTTCTCTCTCTCTGTGTGTGTTTGTGTTTGAGAGAGTGTGCGTGAGTTTGTGAGTGTGTTTAAAATTGTATTTCTCTTACTGAAACAATGCTTTGAAATCATTTAAAAATTCTAGACTAGATGGACTAGTGATATTTGGTTGTAGTTTAGTCTTCGGTCTTATTTCTGCTAACACCACGCGTGTGTGTGAGTTATAATAGGTCAAAATAGACTCTTTAAACCCAAAACTACATTTTGGTCACAAGTGTGATTAAACGTGTGCTGATGAGAAAGTGTGTGTGTGTTTGATCAGGTGTTCGGCTAGACCGCGTACGAGGAGGACGACAGAAATACAAGAGGAGAATGGATGCAGAAAACACAGCTTACCTGGGGCTCACACTGCCACCGCCAGCCAAAAAACCATGTGAGAACACACACACACACACTCACACACACAATGACTGTAAATGCAGTGTGTGTGTGACCGTAAGTGTGCCTCGTCCTCCTCAGTGACGAAGATCGTGTCTCATCTGCTGGTGGCGGAGCCGGAGAAGATCTACGCCATGCCGGACCCGAGTCTCCCCGAGAGCGACATCAAGGCCCTGACGACCCTGTGCGACCTGGCCGACCGCGAGCTCGTGGTCATCATCGGCTGGGCCAAACACATCCCGGGTCAGTCACACACACACACACACATGTGGATACACCCGCACACTTACACGTCAGACAAGCACTGGGCCAAACTTGTAATTGAAAAAAAAAAAATTGGTTGTTTAAATACTCAAATCTTTCATCTTTAACCCTTGTGCTGCATTAGATTTTTAACACCGTTGAGTGCATTAAGGACCAAAAATGGCCACATATTAAACATTGCCTAAAATATTATATATTATTATTATTTTCCACTTTTACCAAGTTAAATCTTTTAACCAGCATCAGTCCTCATCATAACTACCAAAAATGTATTTAATTTCAGGATTTTAACCCTTTAATTACCAGTTTTGTTTGCGAAACCATCGATTTGTATAAGAGGAAAAAACACAAAAATTCAATTATTTTCAATAAACTAAATGCAAAGAGAAAACTTTAGATTTGGATTATCACAGTCCCACTTTGCAAAAAATCCCACTTAGCGCGTTAGAGACCAAAAATGGCCACCTATTAAACATTGCCTATTGCATTTCCACCCATAGGGAATAAATATGTAGTGACGTCATCTGGTGGAATACACTATATAATGCAAATATAATGCTTTTGCTTCAAAATGAGAGGATGTTTGTGCAAAAATCATGTTTCATGTATTACTGACAGCCTCAGATTTAAACAACGTTTTAATTTTTGGCCATTTTTGGTCTTTATGGTGCTGAGTGTTACTATTTGATCTACACAGTGTGTGTTATACATATTTTGCAAAATGGGATCACATTTTTTACATGTATCCAAAAAGTCACAATTTTGCCAAATTTCATACCATTTGCATTAAAACAGCCAAAATGGTCAAAGAAATTAAACTGCAAAAGACCAAAAATGTCCCTAATGCAGCATAAGGGTTAACTCAAATCTTTTAAATATCTTTGAAAAATATGTATTAAAATGTACCTTTTTATACATTTAATAGCCTAAATCTACCCTAAACATACTAATGTCTGCTGGCCTGTAATATGATCATAATAATCTGTACAGTATTGTGAGCTCAGTGTGTATCGTTAGCGAGTGTGTGTATATCTATAACCTAAAGACACCTGTCCTGTTCTCCACTGGTTCTCCTCACACCACAACTCGTTCTGGCTAACATTATCCCGGCCTGTCTCACTCTCTTTAGCATAGCAGGCTCATAACTTTATGGCTTGGTCTGTCGTACGAGTATTTCCTCAGTGTCCGAAATGTCAGTCCGATATATCGGCCGATATTTGGCATTTTCCAAACTATCGGTATCGGCAGTTATAATGGGCGATAAATGAATATTTCAAAATAAAAACCGACGAAACGCGCTTGAACCATGTCACGAGTGTTGGAGTTGTAGAGTTTGTCCACCAGAGGGCAACACTCGTTGAGTTGGTCACGATACATACGTTGCTTGAATAACAATTAAAAGAACATCCCCATCAGTTCTCTTAACTCAAATAAGCATTTGTGACTATATTCGTGACAAAATTTGTGACTATCTTGTCCAGTGTTGCTGCTGTTAAATAAGCCGAGAGTGAAGCGGGATTAGCTAGTAATAGTTACGTTACGTTGTTAACTTTTGACAATGTGACTGAAGTATTTCTTTAATAGTGCGTGACAGTTATAGCAATGAGACGCATCATCTCTCCTTGTTATATTGAAAATGTATGTTTTACAATTTGAAGTATGACAATCCATTGCTAAATTATGGCTAATCATAGACTAGCTAATGCCACTATCGTCAGTCTGTTCTGTTGTGACAATAAGTTTCTTTTTTAAATGCATTATCATATTGTTTTAGTTAAAACTCATAAATAACTACAAATAACTAATGTTAGGGAAATCTGTTAATGTTTTGTTGTGCGTTTCTGAAATAAAAAAATATCGGCCGATATATCGGAATATCGGATTTTAAAACCCAAAAATATTTGTATCGGTATCGGCCTTCAAAATCCAATATCGGTCGGGCTCTAATTGCGATCCATTGTTGTGTGAATCGACCGCTCTCCCACTCGTTGCGTCACACCCGCCACGCCCATTTTCAGACGCGGAAGTAACATTTTCTCACAAAAAAAATTTATACGAATATAGCGTAGTGTATTTATAAGAAACTCATTGGGTCCTCTAACCTGCAATTTGCCCTTTAAGCGTCCGTGACTGACTTTCACCTTGATGTCTCACTCACACAGTTTGTGTGTTGGCTTGATGAGTAGACGCTCAGCTGATCGTCTGTGTGCCGTCATCTGCCTATAACATGACAAATAGCCTATAACACGTTTATGTTTTTAGCATTTTTGGGAAGAGTAAAATTTAAATGTGGTTTCAACAACCAGATGCATCCAGTTTGATCTGTAATGAGGCCCAGACCTCCTCCTGAAGTGTGTGAGCGATCGGATTCAAATCCGTCTCGAATGCGTTTCGGAGGGCGTTTACACCTGGAGAGCTATCCAATCACAGAACACGCATGAGGTGACCAGCCCCAGTGAGAGAACGCCGGCTGGATGTTCATTAGTTCTCCTGTCAGCTGCAGTTAAACACACACTAGATGAAGAAAGGGGACGGAGCTGTGTGCTGTTTTTGGGGAAGATGGTAATCATTAGCAGGGTGAAGTGCTATCTAATAAGGAGATTAGGAGGATGTTGAACCTCTTACTCACACACACACACTCACACAGCAGTGCTGCGTCAGCACAGAGAGCATTTCAACAAGGAGCTTACAGCCGACTGGATCACTACTGACCCAAAAACACAGTCTCCTCAAACAGCTCTGCAACACACACACACATATACACACTCACATATGTTGTTTGTTTGCTTTGCATTGTTTTGTGTTATTGGCAAAGTTTTATTAAGAAAGTATGATGCAGCAGGTAGAGCACATATTCGTTTAATACAAATACAAGTAAACTTGTTTTGTGTCATCACATTGCATCATATCGTTCAGCTGTATTTACTAGGGCTGGGTAATAAATATTGATTTCTCAATATTAATCGATTCTCATTTTTACGAACGAACCGATATCGATTTTTAAGTCTCAAGAATCGATTAGTCATCCTGTTTCATTTGAATGAATGGGACATTGTATCGCGGCTGCGCGCATCCAAAAAATCGCAATAATCTTTGTGCTTTGTTAGTATTGATATGAAACAAAGTCTCAATTTTCAAATTACGTCCATTTTCTTTAGAAATTCAAAAACATGAATAGCGTTTTGTCGCTGTGGCGTGAGATCGCTCTGGAGAAGCAGCAGCGCTGATCTCTCTTCCGGGTTATTAAAACCAGTCACAGCGCCAAATAAACATGAATGAGCATCTGAAAGTGTGTTAAAGATAGAGTACAACTTATCGAAATCCATATCATGTCACATTGATTCACTCAATCAGCGTTTCAACCGTGGAAAGACGTCAGTTAAACAGCTTGTAATCGATGTCATCGTCATATTTACCTCAGAAAACCCACATAAACTCGTTAGTCAGCTAGAAAAAATAACTCTAGAGAGGAGCATTTTGCTAAATATATACACCATATTACATATGCATTATAATCTTAATGTTCTTCAATATTTAATGCATATTTAAATAAATCTGGCAAGTTTTTATGACAGCCACCATTTAAATGTTTATATTTCATATAATCTTCTTATTATAAAAATAAATAAAAGTGTAATTTAAGTGTTTGTATAGCTTCATTATTACCTTCATATTAGGCTAATGAAGTCTATAGTTTACAACTAGACTCCCATAGTTTACAGTATTAGTTAAGAGATTTGATTCCCTTGAGAAAAATGGCCATTTATTGGAACTGATATCCAAAATAATCAATATTGAATCGAATCGAATCGGAATCGAATCCAATTGCAAGCTTGTGAATCGAAATCGAATCGAATTGTGAAATTTGTGTCAATACCCAGCCCTAGTATTTACTGTGTAAAACAAAACAATATTGCACAAAAGCCATTTAACTTTAACATCATTAGTCAGTGATGGAGAAATATGCAGTAATGCGGCTCTACTTATAGTTTGTGTTGTTTTAAACCGCACTAAAATGCTGGTTTTATTGTTAGCTAGACCACTGACTATCTTGAATCTGTCCCACATGAGGTGACGCTCTTCACTTCTGTAATGTTAACTCATTCTAAATGCAACAGGTGACGTTTGTTTGTTCCCTTATTTGATTTGACAGGGACGAACCTAAAAAGTTAAAATGTTAATGAACATATTATAGCAACATTGCTAATTAACACCCGCAGTCTCTAGGAACATGCTAGTTTTAGACGACGGATGTTAGTTACAGTAGACTGACTATCTTTCATCAGAATGTTGCAGTGACTTTCTCACCAGAGTCACTTCTGTAATGTAAAATAATTGATTTTCTCCATGAGGACTTGGATTTTCATAAGTATCTCACACACAGTGACCTCGGGTCGTCCCGGGTCCCGTACACACCTGTCCGGAGCGCACTCGTATTTATATGTCCCAGTAAAGCCCTTTATAGAGCGCTTCAGGACACACACACACACACACCGTCTCATCTGTCAGTAAACGGCTCCTCGTACGGCCAGGCCTGTGCAATCGTCTGCTGATTAACTGTTCATTAATCCCCGAGCCTCGCGCTGAGAGGAGGCTCTGGAAATAGTGTGAGTGGCGTCTCATTAAAGCTGATGTGTGGGACCTGTTGACAGAGGGCTTTTTTCCCTGCTAAGGTGCTAAAGACCTTTGACACACATACACTAGCGTCTTGGAGTTTCCCTCCGCTCACACTTCACGGATATGCTAACCAGCTACACGCTAGTCAGACTGTAACTCGACGAGTTACGAAAACCCCACAGGATCTTGATTCCGATGATCATGACGTGATCCTGTTGCGTGTCTGGAATAAAGCCACGCATTCCTCCGCTGGTCGACTCGGTTAGACAGCTGGTGATCTCCTGTCTTCGGACCCCTGACTCCTAGGGCCAGATTCTTCCTGTTGGGAATTCCGCGGTGAGAATGTGTCGGATTGTTTCCCA